GGGGGGGGGGGCAATCATTATATGCAGAAAATTACAAATAGTTCTGATATTTCAGTGTCAAAGGATGTTTCTGAAATGGTATAAAAAAAATAGGGTAGCATGGCGCGTGAATTAAAAACATGATGTTTTCATACTTCTTTCTAAATTTGAACTGTCCATGTATTTAACCAGAATCAGCAGCCAATAGAGCTAATATACAGTTCAGTTATCATCAAAGTAACATGTAGTAGCAACTGCTTAGAACAAATACTGCTTTGAAATGCATGCACATTTCTAGGGCCTTTTTCCCAAAAGCATTCTGTTTTGGGTAAACTAACGTTAACTCTCCAAACCTGTTGTTTGACGTTTTATACCTGAAAAAAAATACGCTTGATTCTTTCTTTAAGGTATTATATTACTAGTATCTGACAGAATTTATCACTAATGATCTTCTGTATTAATATTCATTACATTCACTCATAGTGGAGCCAGATTTTTGTAGTGATAATCCCTGTCATCTTTTTACTGTGAAAGGAAAAGCTACAATGTCCACTGTCCTGGCCACCTCCTACCTACTGGCTTAGGCCAAATAAAACATATTTATCGGGTTTCCTGTAACATGTTTGAAAATGTTGAGGTAGAAAGGTAACACATTTTATTTTAAACTATATTTTAATGTGTTTTATATAGGAGGGGGATCTTAACATTGCTTCAATTATTTGAATATTGCATAAAATATTAGGGCATGGAGGCTTACTGAAAACACGTAACATTTTGTTTGGCCTCATTAAAAGTAGAACAAAGAAATAGACATTATAGTGACTAATACCTTTACAGCCTCGCAGGCCAGCAGTTTGTCATCGACACACCATCAGTAGTCCACACGTCTGATAGATACAGTATGTCATTGACACACCATCAGTAGTCCACGCGTCTGATAGATACAGTAAGTATGTTATTGACACACCATCAAAGAAATAGACATTATAGTGACTAATACCTTTACAGCCTCGCAGGCCAGCAGTTTGTCATCAACACACCATCAGTAGTCCACACGTCTGATAGATACAGTATGTCAT